CTGGACTTTTTCCTTTATCTCCTTTTTTACCTCCGCAATTTACATGTAAAATAAGCCAAATATGGAAAATAAATAAAAGAAATAAAATGTAATATTTCATTTCAAATATTTACTAAATTATTTTTAAAAATATTTTTTTATTTTAATTAATTTAAAATTAGAGATAATTAGACTCTTTCAACACTATTAAGAGGTAAATCTAAAACACTAGCAATTAAAAGTTTATTAAAAATTTAATTAAATTATTAAAAGATTTTTAAAAATAAAAATTTAAAATTAAACTGCCTTTTTGCTTTATTTTTTTCTGTATTTATGCGCAAGATTCTTGAGAAGCTAAATGCCCGCCTCTTCAAAAATGGGAGGGTCTCTCTTATAAAATAGTAAACATCTCTTTCAATTCGTGGATTTGGGTAGGGCGCTAATCGAATTCTCTTTTTTTCTCTAATAATCTATTTTGTAAGACATTCTAAATATACAAGGATTGGGTAATGGAGAGGGCTTAAGACAGCTAACGGGAGGAGGCAGCGGGGATAGGTTTGTCTTTCGAATTTTCGATTAAATTTGAAAATATTTGTTTATTCGAAATTGCGATTTAAAGGCTTTTTCTTCTGGGGTTCAATTTAATTTTTTTTGTATTTCTTTATTCAATTTTAAAAGATATGGGTTTTATGGCCATTGCAAACAAGAGCTGGAATGAAGGAATTCTGTTTAGTCCTCACTTACATATAGAAAATATGTAAAATAAAAAATTACGCGAGCAGGGGGTTTTTATTATCCTAGGCGTTTTATCTTATAAAAATAAAAAAAAACTTTTTTATTTTAGGTTTTATCCTAAAGATTATATCCTTTGGTTGTTCCGCGTCCCCGAAAGCCGGGGAATTTGTGAAATTTCATTAAAATTCCCCGTTCTGCCCCTCACCGTGGTGCGCCTCCCCGAAAACTTGCAGAATTTCGTAAATCGAAAGACCGCTAAAAATTCGAATTTAAGGAAACACTGAAATCAAAATTATGATTGCGAAAAAATTAAATAAATTTATAATAAATTAGTTTATATAAAGATTTTAAATAATAAAAGTTAAATTTACACATGTAAAACATAGCCTCAGTAATATTTTCATTAAATAAGAATTAAATGACTAAAAAATTGCCGTATTTCCTAAAATAGTCCTCCCTCCGCAAATTAAAACTCCCGCTTAAATATACTCCCGTAACAGGGATGTCACGGGTTGAGAAAAATGTCGGGTCGGGTTTCGGGTCGGGTTTCCAAAATTTTTCTCGGATCGGGTTTCGGGTTTCGGGTCGAAAAAAAGCCAAAATTTTGAGAATTTTGGAAGGCCAAAAAGCCAAAAATCTTCCCTTCTTAGCGCCGCAGGCGAAAATTTTGAGAATTCTTGAAGGTACGAAGCCAGATTTCTTCCTTTTTCAGCGCCGCAGGCGAAAATTTTCAGAATTTTGGAGAATCATTAAGCTAAAAATCTTCCCTTTTTCTGCGACGCGGGCGAAAATTTTGAGAAAACTCGGGTCGGGTTTCGGGTCGGGTTTTAGAAAATTTCTCGGATCGGGTTTCGGGTATCGGGTCGAAAAAAAGGCCGGGTTTCGGGTTTCGGGTATCGGGTTTCGGGTAACCCGTGACATCCCTGTCCCGTAATACTCCCCACTTCTGCTGGACTTTTCGTTACACGACAGCAAACAGAGCCAGCCGAATTTTATCGGCTTTTATTTTTTTTTGCTTGATTCAAAACAAATAAATTTTATATCATTCCGAAGCTCTGGAGAAGCTGTACCTTTTTTCTAAAAAGGTAGATAAATTCGATCACTTAAAAAGTTTTCAAAAATGGGAGGATCTCTGGAATAAAATATAAAAAACCTTTAAAATTCGTGGATTTGGGTAGAGGGGTAAGCGAATTCTCTTTTCTTCTCTAATACTCTCTCTTGCAAGACATTGAAAATAAATCTCTCTCTGAATTAAAGCGTGTCCGGTTAACTCATCTACTCGGTAACTCATCTACACGGCCAAAAACGTTCAACTCATCTAAACGGCTAAAATTCCTTAACTCATCTACACGGCCAAAAAGGGATCAACTCATCTAATCGTTAACTCATCTATTCGTTAACTCATCTACACGGCCAAAAAGGGTTAACTCATCTAATCGTTAACTCATCTAATCCTTAACTCATCTACACGGCCAAAAAGGGTCAACTCATCCAATCCTTCGAAACGAGACTATTGAGTAACGGCCGTTTGAGTCTTTGGCCATCTGAGTCTCCGGCCGTTTGAGTCTCTGGCCGTTTGAGTCTCTGGCCGTCTGAGTCTCTGGCCGTCTGAGTCTCTGGCCGTTTGAGTCTCTGGCCGTTTGAGTCTCTGGCCGTCTGAGTCTCTGGCCGTTTGAGTCTCTGGTAAGTTGAGTCCATGACCAGTTGAGTCCATGACCAGTTGAGTCCATGACCAGTTGAGTCCATGACCAGTTGAGTCCATGGCCAGTTGAGTCCATGACCAGTTGAGTCCATGACCAGTTGAGTCCATGACCAGTTGAGTCCATGACCAGTTGAGTCCATGGCCAGTTGAGTCCATGACCAGTTGAGTCCATGACCAGTTGAGTCCATGACCAGTTGAGTCCATGACCAGTTGAGTCCATGACCAGTTGAGTCCATGGCCAGTTGAGTCCATGACCAGTTGAGTCCATGGCCATTTGCTACTGGCCATGGACTCAACCGGCCGGTACTCAATAGTCTCGTTCCGAAGGATTAGATGAGTTGACCCTTTTTGGCCGTGTAGATGAGTTAAGGATTAGATGAGTTAACGATTAGATGAGTTAACCCTTTTTGGCCGTGTAGATGAGTTAACGAATAGATGAGTTAACGATTAGATGAGTTGTATAGGAGCCGAATTAAAGAGGTGTAGAAAAGGATAGAGTAATTGAGAGGGCTTAAGACATAGCTAACAGGAGGATGTTGCGGGGAGAGGTCTTTTGAAATTTCGATTTAAAATAGTAAACATCTCTTTCAATGCGTGGATTTGGGTAGAGAGGTAATCGAATTCTCTTTTTTTCTCTAATAATCTATCTTGTTAGACATTCTAAATATACAAGGATTGGGTAATGGAGAGGGCTTAAGACATAGCTAACGGGAGGATGCAGCGAGCAGTTTCTTTCGAATTTTCGATTATTTTTAAAAATATTTTTTATTCGAAATTTCGATTTAAACGCTTTTTCTATCAGTTTTCGATTTAAATTTTTTGTATTTATTCAATTTTAGAAAATATTTAAAGGTTTGATAGCGGTAATTTTAAAACTGTACTTTTATCACATGCCAGCTGAGGTTCAATGGTCATTGCAAACAAGAGCTGGAATGAAGGAATTCTTTTTTGTCCTCGCTTATCGAAAAATATGTTTAAATAAAAAATTCTCCGAGCAGGCTCATTCCATGATGTCAATTTTATACAAAATGGAATTAATTTTTTAAAAGAATTTCTTCCAATAAAAAGGAATTCCTACTTATTATGGCAAAAAATCTAAAGTTTGCTAATTTCGTAAATCGAAAAAAACAACTAAAAAGTCGAAATTTAAAGAAACTCGAAAATCGAAATTATGAAATTGCTTTGACTTTCACATGCAAAAAGCGGGCACTTATTTCAAAAAGAATTAAATTATCTCTCTCTCTCTCTTAGCAAAATTCTTTCTCAATCACTCTCTAGTAATTTCCGCTTAAAAAATTTTATTTATGGATTTAATTAATCAATTAATAATTTACTTTAAATTTTTTAAATTGATCGCTTGAAAATTAAAATAAATTTTAAATAAATTAATTTATATAAAATTTTAAATAATAAAACTTTAAAGTAAAATTTACACATGTAAAACATGGGTAATGAATTTTCGCTTTGGAACATTCGTCTCCATTTTTCGGAAGTTTCGTCTCCAGCGGAATATTCATCACCAAGTTTTCAATAAATACTTTTTTAATAAATAAGAACTAAATGCTAAGAAATTATCTTATTTCTTAAATAAGTAGTCCTCCAAATTCTTTGACTAAACAAGGCGGTTGGTTCCGTTTCCAAGTGCTTTTTTGGTGAGTTGATGTTATAGCAGAGACTCGGATGTTGTAATCATATTTGGGCTCACTCCGCAGAGTATAGAAATAAACGAATCGCACGCAATGGGGAATATAGGGAGAGCTCTTCATTATGATACTCAATGCCGGCCGGCAACTGTGTTGAAGGAATGAAGAAGTGATCTGTCTTTGCCAATTCCTTTAGAGCTTATATGCACCAGCTTATTTACCAATAGTTTTTACAAGAATAGTTTATTTATTCTAATTGAATTGCCCCTCCATTTGAATGACCCTCTAATTGAATGGCCCTTTTTTGAATGAAAAAATAGAATGGCCACCTCTAATGGCCACCTCCATTTTATTAATTCCCTTTATTATCTAGTTTAATATTTCTTTTTATGAATAATTATTATATTTTTGAGACGATTAAAAGGGATAATAAAGGAATTAAGAGGGATATCACGGGCTTTGGCAGGATTAAGAGTTATCAAGAGATTAAAAGGATTTGCGGAAGATAGCGAATGATTAAGATAATTAGAGGAAATATTTATGGATTCGTACAAGAGTTATTATGAGAATTATTGAAGGATTTGGAGCGATATTGAGGATTTGCAATATATCGTAAATACTAGGTGACCTGAATCACATCAAGAAATAATGTGGATTTGGATCCGATATCTTGACCTCTATTAGAATGGCCCCTCCAATTGTATGAGCTATTTTTTGGGGTATTGAAAAATATGTAGAATGGCGGCCATTCAATAAGAATAAATACGGTATACTAGAGCTGGGCATTTACCCGAACTAAAAATGTGCAATTATTTTCTAGTCACTCTGTATTCTTTTGAAATTCAGATAAACTACAAACAAATTAAAATTATTAAAAAATTATCTATAAAAAAATTTTCAGATTCAAATATAGAGATCTTCTCTTATTTTTAAAAATTTAATTAAACACAAGTTTCTGATTTTTGGCTTATCCTTCCACTTAATTCCGGCATAGAATCAGCAACTTGTACACGTTCAAATCTTTCATTTTGTCTAGAATAATATTGTGAACGTGTTTTTGGTGTTGGTTGTTGTTGGTTTATTTGTTCTTGGGTAAATATTTGGTGGTCAAATTCTGTTGACCTTTTAAATTAAAAAATATTTTGCATTTTTTCGAGCCTTCGACACGAAATTAGAATTCTTTTGCTTAATATTAGAAAACAAATAATAAACTTTTTATGTTTGAAAATGCTTTTTAAATTACATGTAAATAAAGCTAATTGGACTACTCTTATTTTTGTAAGCTAAACATTGTTTTAGCTAATTAACTAACTTATGATCGTATATATTCGATTTTAGATTTTGGTAGTGGAAAGACTTTGGCAAGGTTTCTGGATTTGGTAGCCACAGACATGACAGTTTTATAAAGCAATACCATACCAGTATTGGTACTTGGTAGTACCTACAAGGGAACTACCGATATTTTTAATTAAAATAAAATTATTACGATTCGTGTCGAAGGGATGTAGATTTTGCTGATGGAAATACATATTGCTGTTGTGTTGTCATTGAATTATGTGGTGGAAGAGGAGGTCCAGAATTGAGTGAAAGCGATCCCTGGGGTGTTTCTTCATGTCCCATATAATCAAAATTTTGCAAAGCTGTAGAAGAACCTGGACGAGATTGAGAGTGTGGAGGTGGCGGGGGCGCTGGACGTAAGAGTGGGCGTAGTGTAGGATCAGACAGATTTGTGGTTCTAATAAATTTAAAAATCAATAAAATTAAAACGAGTTGATATATGAATGTTTAAGCCTTAGTTATGCCAAAATTAAAATTGTTAAAATTAAATTTAGTATTAATTTAGTAAAGCGTGGGAGCAGGCCAACCTACCGCAGCCCAACCTACTGCCGAGGCTATAACTTCTTTCAGAATTGTCGAATCCGGGACGCCTTGGTATGGTTCGATACGCCTCGACGAGCTGAATCCAACATATCAAGTTGTCTCAGATTCGCCAATTTTGAACGAAGTTATAGCCTCGGCGGTAGGTTGGGCTCGCGGTAGTTTGGGGTATACCCGTGCTTCGTTGTCTAGTTGATGTTATAGGCAGAGTCGCTCATGCTTTTAATCATGTGAGAACTCCGCAGAGTACAGAAATAGGTGAATCACACGCAGTGGGGGAATATAGGGAGAGCTCTCCCCTATAAGACTCGATGGATTGGCCGGTAGCAACTCTGTTGAAGGAATGAAGAAGTGATCTACCTTAGCCTATTACAAGCTTATATGCACCAGCCTACTTCCCTATCGCTTTCCTAAGGATACTTTTTTATTCTCTAAAAAAGTTATTGGCGATGTTTAGCTTAGATAATGGGCGGCTAACAGCTTTACGAAAACAATGATTAATAAAGAAAGAAAATCTTTCACCTTCCCATTCCAGTAATATTTGATTTTAATGAATTTGCAGATAAAGAATGTGCATGATTTAATGATGAATTTTTGGAAGAAAAAGCAAAACTAGAAATTTAAAAATTTAAAAAATAAAAAACAATATTGTACAATGTAGCCATCATTGCAATAAGAAAGGCAATAAAATGGAAGAAACATGCGCCCATTTGTAAAAAGAAAGCTAAACCAACTCGTTGCTAATAAAAATATTTTAATAATATTTTTACAAAAAGTAAGCTGATTACTTCATAAGTGCCAACAATTCCTTTAACAAAACGATTGTCAGCACGATGCGAAAAGAAAAAGAAAACACCCTCGGCCACAGAGGAAAGAAAAGCTGAAATTTACATAGGTATTAGTGTTGCACACGACCGGCTTTAAAACCAGAAAATTTTTATATTTTTTGCAAAAAATTAATCGTTTTTAGAAAATTTTAAAACCAAAAATTTGTGAAATGTTAATTAGAAACTCCTCCAAAATAAAACCGGTATTTGCCTAAAACTCAAAACCGAAAACAGATTTTTAAAATTTGGATTAACCGAAAACCGGGGGTACCTAATATGTAAATTATAAAGATAGATATTAAAAAATTAATTGTGATTAAAGGATTTATTCTCTAAAAATCCTAATTAGTTGGAAAAATCATAATATTGGATTTTCTTTTCAAATTTTGAGATGTTTCGTAAAAATTTTTTTCGGGATCTATAAACGAGTTCCTATTTTTGTTCATGTTATCAAACTAATTATTCAAAAATCATACTAGTTAATAAAATTGTAGTCGTAAAAATCAAAGTTAATGACGGAATAGCACAACTACAAGCACCTATACAAATTGAACAAAAGCCTGTGATCAAGGCTATTATCTAAATATTTAGTTAAATATATTGGAATTTAAAAATGAATTATTAAAATTTTTATAAGAATTTTTAAGTTTTCCGTAAATTTTCGGCTAAACGTTGGTAAAAAAGGAATCTTTTCGAAAAAATATAAATCTTTCCAAGAAAATAAACAAACAATCATTATAAGCGTTGCTGTATGCCATCCATAAAATTTATGTCTATTAACCTCCCCAACAGGAGAATTATCATCTTCAATATCAAAAGTCCCAGAATATCTAAAAATATATCTAGTTAATTAATTGCTATAAAGCAGGAACTATTAATGATATGATGGGGTAGAAAGGAAAAACTAAATTCCTCTATATTTTTAGGTAGGTGAGGCCCATTTCAGTAATTATTATTATAATAAATTCACTCGCTTGTCATAATCGAATTTGTAGACACAATGAAGAGGTTCAGTTTCAGTTAAATACCTTGAAATATATTTTAAAATTATTTAAATTAAATAATATTGACAGGATTTGAGGTACAAGGAGGTAATATCTCGAAAAATCTTTAGAAAATATTTTAAAGAAATTTATGAACGAGCATTCAATCAATCCTAAAATCTCACTATTAATCAGAGATAAGTCCAAGAGTCCTGGGAAACCCTCTTATATCATTCGATATCCGTACCGAGTTATTTGAATACCCAGACTTTTTTGGATCTGCCAAGAATAAACGAATCGAGATCTCGAAAGAAAGAGTTTAGCAAAAGTTTAGCCACCGGACAGGATTGAACCTGGGACCACCTGACAGTTATTGCTAGGCGCTCTCGTTCACCAAATAAAGTTGCTCTATCACTGAGCTACCGGGGCATCGCTACTCTTATATCCTTTTAGATCGTTTAACCCCCGCCTAAGCGATTTAAAATGCTCTACATAGATGTATCATCATTACACAAATAAAAAAATCTCGATTATGAGAATTGATATTTTTCGAGATACAGATCTTGAGTCCGTAAGACCTCCCAGTCCCGTCTCCATTATTAATTACCTCCTTAACAAAACGCCTGTAACATCCCTCATATGTCTAATACAGTCAAGCCAAAGTCCGTGTTCGTGGACTGAATTATATTCTTGCAAATTAACTACCTTTTTAAATTTTAATTTTAATAAAATAATTAATTTAAATTAAAAACCTGCCAGGAAGGACTTAATAATCCAGCAATTGAGAGACCCATTCCAATAGCTGTGAATACTATAGCACTTACTATAATTGAAGCTCTCAATGGTGAAGAAGACATATTTTAATATGTAATTATTAAAAAATATCACTTGAGTAATTTAAGTATGAACTTCATTTTAAATAAACAATTTTGCATAATCATACGTAAAAATTAGGTATTGTTTAAGTAACTCTTCTGCCCAGTATCCAATAAATTTTAGAAATTTTAAACATGAGAGAATGGGGCATAAAGGATATAGGGTTAGGGGATCCTGGCTGTGCGGAAGAGCTTTATTAAAATATAAAACAATCTTTAATTAACTTTGAGAGGTTGAGTTATAGAAGCGCAAAAATTTAAAAATAAGTTAAAATTTTAAAAATAAAAATATTTTCTATTAAAAAAATTAAAATTAATGTCAAAAATTTATTTTAATTGGTCAAAATACATACATATCTTAATTATATATTTTTATTTTCTATTAGGTAGCTTATTTCATGATCATTAAATTATAAAAAAACTTTATATACATATGTACAAAAGAAATAAACACTACTCTAAATATTTATTCCTGAATTAAACTCACGTGCCTATTTTTTCAATTATCCTTCAGAAATTAATTATTTTATTATGAATATAAATTATTCCAGAAGATTATAATTTTATAAAATATTAAAACAATATAAATTTTGAAGAAAATAAATATTTATAGAATTATGAAGAGCTTATTCTGAGCAACAAAAAAAAATAAAAATTGTTGAGTGGTTGTTGGGTGTTTTAGTGAGCGATGCATGAAAAAGAGCCATCATTACAATCCGCACCATTTTTCAATCTGACAGTCGGGGATGGCTGTCTAAATAAAATAAGATCAATAAATGCCTATTAAAGAAAGAAAAAAGAAAGAAATGGTTTAAAAATGAAAGTTAAAAATTTAAAATAATTTTAAAAAAAGTTAAAATTTAAAGTAAATTAGACAAAATATTTTGATTTTAGTTAAATTTCTCATTAATTATTTTAATTAATCAGTAAAAATTTAATCTTATGCCTGTTTGTCTGACGGTAAATGCTCTGATACAAGCTTATTAACACTCAAACATCCAGGGCTGTCCGCAAGTGAAAAAAAATTTCCGCCGCAATCCGCAGTCCGCAAGTCCAAAAAACTACGCAATTTGCGCAATCCGCAGTCCGCAATTGCGGACAGCCTTGCAACCATCCCCCACAGACTGGCTGAGTTTGAATTTTTGTTTTACGAGGATGGAAGCCTCGCCGGACTTAAATTACCGTATTTATTCTAATATTACGACATGTCGTTTTATTTTTCAACCCTCTTCTAAGGTCGTTTTATTAGAGACTGTCGTTATATTAGAATAAATACGGTAAATAAGTTGAGAGCTTAATTCGTATCTGTTTGAAATATTTTGGCGTTTTTCCCTAGCAAATTAAGCCAATGAATATATTAATTTTGAAAAATTCGAAATTAAAAATTATTTAATGATAAACTATTTTATCCGAGGGAAATTTTATTTAAAATTAGGAAGAAAAAATAAATTTATAGAAAGATTAGATTTCTTCAAAAAATTAAAAAATAAAAGCTATAAAATTTGGAAAAAAATAATAAAAAATTTTTCCAAAAAATCCCTTTCAATAAAATGGATGAGTCAAACTTTTTTTTGATGATTCATAAAAGTAAGTAACAATTCGTGCGCATTTTATTTTTATTTTTAATTGGGTTGACAAGTTAAAAAACGTGTTATTAATTCTTGCCTTTTTTTAATAGAAGGAAAAAATTTTTTTGAAAAAAGGGATATTAAAATAAATTGTTTATTTTATTAGAATATGTAAAGGTTGGGGTTGTTTATGGTCGGTTAACCGAACCGTGTGTGGTAAAAACCGGGGGTCGTAAATCGGTCACAACCGAAAACCGGGGGCACTGGTTAATAACCGGTAGTGAACAACCCTAGAATATAGGTTGAGGTATCGTGATAACATTTATGATACTAGTAGATACATATCAGGGTCGGATTGGCTCTTATTTTCTATGAATTATTGGAATTTCAAAAATAATTTTGTTTATAATATTCAAAATATTATTACCGTATTTCCTAAAATAGTGCTCCCGGGAGTACTATTTTTCAACCCTCCTCCAAAGGGGAGTACTATTTAAGGGGGGAGTGCTAATTCAGGGGGGAGTACTATTTTTCAACCATCCTCCATGATTTTTCATAGGAAAATTTATTTCAAAATTAACAAAAATATTTTAATTTATTTCAATTTATCTCTAAATAAATTCGATTAGAGTTCGCTATTTGAAAAATTCTAAAAAATTAATAAAATTCTAAAAAATATCCGAATTAGTATAAAATTGAGCAAATTGCGAGACAATTAGACACAAATGACTTAAAATACGGGTTATTAAGGGAAATCAAGAAGGATATAAGTGGATTTGGAGTGATATCGAGGGATATAAGGGATTTTAAGCGACATCTATAGATAGATGTCGAAAAAATTATCAGTGGGATAAAGTTGGTATCGTTGCTATCGTGGCGTTTGATGGTAATAAAATAATTATCATTTAATTTTTGGGAAAGTGGATATATCTTTGTGTCTAAGATTTATCAGGGGTCAACTAATCTCATGTGTCTATGGATTACCTAATCTTTGTCTAGTGATTTATCAGCATTAATCACCGATATCCTCCACATCCTTCTGTACTTCCGATATCGGTTGATTAAGAAGGATTTATGATTCAACTTATCGTTTGATCACTCTTAATCAACCAAAATCGCCTAATATGACTCCCCTTCATTATTCCCTCAAATTCCTATATCAAACCTTAATCCAATGATCTCTTTTAAATCCCACTTGATTAATACAGAACACATTTCATCATCCGATATAAATCCATTTATATACCCAAAATCCACTTTTACCCCACCAATTAATCGGATTATATCTCTTTAATCCTCGAAGAATTTTAGGTTAAAATTTAGGTTCGTTTTCGGTTAAACGAAAGCTCTCAGGTTTTGTTTATCAAAGAATCAAGTGAAACCGACAACGCTACTTAGAATAAATAAAATAATTCAACGTCTCTTATTATTTTTTCAAATATAGGGGAAAAATATTTTTGGGGGGAGTACTATTTTAGGGGGAGTACTAATTCAGGGGGGAGTACTATTTTTCAACCCTCCTCCAAAGGGGAGTACTATTTAAGGGGGGAGTGCTAATTTAGGGGGGAGTACTATTTCAGGAAATACGGTAACTTTTTTCTAGGATTTTAGTAAATATAATTTAAAAATTTTAAATAATATTTTGACGCCCCATAAAAATAATTTTTTATTAAAAGTATTTATGTCATTAAACGAATTTTATTGTTAAATATTTATATGCAAAGCTAAGGAAATAAATTAAAAAAAATAAATTTACATATAATTTGTTTGAATAATTGAATTTTTAGACTAAGTTTTTTTATTTAATTGGAACGTTCAAAAAACAAATTTAATTTTCAAATTTTTTAAAATTATTGGACATAAATGTTTATTAAAAACTAATAAATTTTTATTTAAATCTCTAGAGAAATTATAATTATTATTAAAATTATGTATTATACATTTGCAGTTATTTAAAATAAATACTTTTGTTAAAGGAATTGTGCTGCCATGGCAATTGTTATTATTTGTGTAGTTTCAGGAATTATTTAAATTTATATTTTTGCCATTAAAAGAAAATATAAAATAATTATTTTTTAAAATAATAAATTTTTATTTTTAAGCAAACTTATATTTTTGCGAGATCTAGTGTTACTACAAAAATTAAAAAGAATAAATTAAAAAGAATAATCTAAGAATAAATTAAATCTTAAAACTTTGTGTCTGTTAAAATTAACTTTAAACAATAACTCTAAATTTTAAAGGCGAGAAACCAAATAAAACTATTTTTATATAGAATACTAATAAAATGTCAGAATCTAGTGAATATTCGAGTAACCTCGTTTAAAATCTATTGAAATATTATAATACAGGGTGCGCCAAAAGTAATGGCCCGCACATTTTTTAGCATAACTTTATTAAAACTTAATTGTTGAGACACTATAAATAAATAGTCTCATTTTGACATTTTCATCATATGCTAAGTTAATAAGAGCTGTTCGAAATTTCGATTTTTAACATTGGCAATCAAAATTTCGACCCGAGTATTTCGAAACATGTCTTAGAGATAAAAGGGGGTACAAATCTAGCCAAACTATAAAATATTGTTTACTAAGTATATTAAGCAAAGTGCAAATTTAAAATCAGTTGGTGAGAAAATAAATATAAAATAACATAAATACATTTCATAATTTACCGTCTTATTTTTTATTAATTTATTTAGCCATTTAGGGCATTTTTAAAATTTGCACTTTTTGTCAATTTTATTTGTTTACATTTTTACCTACAATATGTCTTTCACTCTGTTTGGAAATATTTGGGTTGAAATCTTATTTATCAATGCCGCAATCATAACTTCGAACCCCCCCCCCCTCCACACGTAATTAAACTAGAGTTGATCAAGGCGAGACCGATACCGAGACCGATACCGAGATTCTCGGCTTTTTTCCAATATCGGTCTCGGTTTTTTCATTCTCGGTCTCGAAACCGATACCGATATTCTCGGTCCATTTCTCGGCGAGAAACGATACTGACTAAAAGAAACAAAATCCTCCATATAAACCAAGTTTTCGTCAATAATTTGTTTTTGGATATCCGTCCATAACAGAGAAAGTCAATTTTTTCGAATAAGGTCTTCTAAAATTAAAAAAATTTTCGCCTGCGGCGCTAAATAAGAAAGAAATTTGGTGGCTTGGCCTTCCAAAATTTAATAAATTTTCGTCTGCGGCGCTGAAATGTTGAATTTTCTGAGCCCTCGGCCGTTAGATTTTCAAGATTTTGATTACAGAGTCTTCCGATTTCGGCAACTGTTGTTCCCACCAGTGGATTAAATTAAATTAAATTAAAAAAAAAATTAAAATGATCGGAAGCAGGGATGAGCGCATTGAGTTTGCGTATCTAAGGGCAAAAATTGGAAGAAATCTGGCTTCATTCTCAA